TCTGAGTCCCTCAAGAGAGGTGAGAAGGTCGGTATACAAAACTTTTAAATAAATAAATAAAATAAATAAATTTTAATTGCTAATGTATACATTAACTCACACATTAATTGTTTAATAAATTGCCCCCGGTGGCATAATGGGTTAAAACCTCTGTGCTGGCAAGTCTGCTGAGCGATAAGTAAGCGGTTTAAATCAAAGGAAAGCGGGTTGAGCTCCCTCTGTTAGCTCCAGCTCCCCATGCGGGACATAAGAGAAGCCTCCCACAAGGATGATAAAACATCAAACATTTCCTGGGCAACGTCCTTGCAGATGGCCAATTCTCTCATACCAGAAGCGACTTGAAGTTTCTCAAGCCACTCCTGACACAGAAAAATGTTTATTTATTTTGATTTTTGTGTATATTGTTTTCCCTGTAATTAATGTAACTGTATCCTATCTCCTAATAACTGAATGTTTAAAAATCCTGTGGATTTTACAAATAATCGAAACCACGAATGTGGGGGGCCAATTGTAATTGTCATCATGTAACCACCCAAATGTTGACTCATCCATCAGCCTTGCCTCTCATGGCCCAAAGTGGCTTTCCTTCTTCGCACGCTAATGAGATTACACAGGCCGGGATTACAAAAGGATTTCATCTTTCCTTCCAGATAACGTCTAACATGATTCACCGAGAAACCAAAATGCAGAACCTGTCAAGCGGATGTAACCATGAAGGAGAGGAAGATGAACTAGGGGGTATTCTGAGGATCTTGGAAAGGAGGCAAAGATTTCTTTCTGCCTTGACCCATATATAACGGAGAGGTAAGCTTGGGATCGGTTTTGTTTAGATATATTAGCCGACTGGTAAAGATATAACCCAACAGGGATGTATACTGCCTGAATTTGGCAGGAACGGTCTGGATTAATCCTCTGCCATCCCTTTTTCTTGGCTGTTTTTCAAATGTCCCAGTTTCACCCTGCTTCTCCCACTTTCCTCCTTTCTCCTCAGGATATGTCAATTGCTGCAATGGTGGTATTCCCTTTTTCTACCAGCTTCTACCTTTCCAAACAGCATTGTTTTAGTAAGGAGTCATATCTTCTCATGATAAGGCCAAAAATGAAAGTTTCAATTTAGTCATCTTGGGCTGGATGTACATGGCCATATAATGCAGCTTGACCTGCATTATATGGTCAGTGTAAACCCAAATATATTNACAGGGAGCTCTGGCGTGGGCTGGTCCATGAGATCATGAAGAGTCGGAGATGACTGAACGAATGAACAACAAGGCCTTCTCGCGGACCACCATGAGAATTTTGGGGGGGGGCTGAAGCCCCCCAAGGCCCCCCCTTCGGCTACATGCCTGGATCTGGACCAAACTTGGCGTGAATACTCAGTATGCCCAAATGTGAACACAGATGGAATTTGGCGGAAATAGACCTTGACATTTAGGAGTTGTAGTGCTGGAATTTCTAGTTGACTTACAATCAAAGAGCATTCTAAACCTCCCCAATGATAGAATTGGGCCAAACTTCCCACACAGAACCCCCATGACCAACAGAAAATACTGTGTTTTCTGATGGTCATTGGCAACCCCTCTGACACCCCCCTCACGACCCCTCAAGGGGTCCTGACACTCAGGTTGAGAAATGCTGCTCTAGTGCCTCAGCAAACTACAACATGCAGAGTTCCATCGAATCCAGGTCCGAATGCAATTATCATGTAGTATGAAAGGGCCTGTAGAGTTAGGTCTCATTTTTTCTAAGATTTGTAGCATAACACAGTGACGGGTTTACCAGTCAGGAAACTCGGAAAGCTTCCGTGTTTCAGTGTTTGTATTGACATGACTGTCACAGCGTATGTGTTCCCACCAAGTCTCTCGTTTCGTATTTGTCTTGAAATACATTGGTTTAAAAAATGATTTTCTGTATCTTATGTGTAAATAGATATATTAAAATAAGCTATGGGATGTATAGTGCAGTATAACAATGATAAATGATGTTGTGTGCAATTTTTCTACTATTAACATAAAGTAATATAAACTGAAGGACACTAGTCTATTGAGAGAGTTAGTAGCTAATGTTCCATATCAGATGTGGACAATGTCAGGACTGAATACAGATTAGGCAGTGTCCTTTTCTCCCCAGGGGAATTAAACTTTGAGACACCACTGGCTGCCGATGGTTTTACTGCATTTTGTTGGTGCCTCTGGTGCCTTTCTTGGTCTATTAATTCAGGAGCTGTAAATGACAATGTGAGTAAAAAGCTTTTCCAGTGGGATGCATTTCATTTATGCATTCCTGTATCCACGGTACCTGTTCAATCCATTTTTGTCACAATAACTGTATAAAAACCGTATGGATTAACTACAGTTCTTCTTGGATCACGGCAATTTTTCTCCCTTCTGTTTCCTTTATTAGAACGCAGTAACACTATAATTTCCCACAAATGGGAATATAGATCTATTCAACTCTTTAAAAATATAACAAGGGGGAGGGGGGTACTAAGAAGAAGGGGGAAACATTAACATATGTCATTCAACATCACTCAAAAACAAAACAAAAGAGCATTGATAACACTGTTCAACGGAGAAAAAGTTGCGTGCCTGTAAATAGTTGTTCTTTCATGATTTTGGGGTGCTGAAAACGAAAATGACATTTAAAAATGTATATTGGCTCTAGTTTTTATGATATAAGCCAGTGTTTCTCAATCTTCCTAATGCCGCGACCCCTTAATACAGTTCCTCATGTTGCGGTGACCCCCAAACATAAAATCATTTTCATTGCTACTTTAAACTGTAATTTTGCTACTGTTATCAATTGTAATAAAAAGATCTGATGTATTCACTGGACCAAATTTGGCACAAATATCCAATACACACAAACCTGAAAAGGCAGAGGAATGAGAGACCAGACTGCCAATATCCGCTGGATAATGGAGAAAGGCAGGGAGTTTCAGAAAAACATCTACTTCTGCTTCATTGACTATTCTAAAGCCTTTGACTGTGTGGATCATAATAAATTGTGGCAAGTTCTTAGTGGGATGGGCATCCCAAGCCACCTTGTCTCTCTCCTGAGGAATCTGTACAAGGACCAAGTAGCAACAGTCAGAACTGACCACGGAACAATAGACTGGTTCAAGATTGGGAAAGGCGTACGGCAAGGCTGCATACTCTCACCCAACCTTTTTAACTTGTATGCAGAAAACATCATGCGATGTGCGGGGCTGGATGAATGCAAAGCTGGGGTAAAAATTGCTGGAAGAAACATTAACAACCTCAGATATGCAGATGACACCACTCTGATGGCCGAAAGCGAGGAGGATCTGAGGAGCCTTCTAATCAAGGTGAGAGAAGAGGGCGCAAAGGCCGGGTTGCAGCTAAACATCAAAAAAACCAAGATTATGGCAACAAGAATGATTGACAACTGGA